AAAACCCAAACTGACCAACCAACTAAACCAACAAAGTCTGAGTGTTGTCTAATTGTGTGAGGCTGTAAAAAGCAGGGTCTTTAAGAATTGTGAAAATCAATGAATCAAACAGACTCACATCCAGAAACTTGGGCATTGCAAATAGATTTTCAAAAACTTGTCAGTAACTATCCAAGGATTTGCTGCATGTACATGTACATATGCATCCTTGTTTGTCCCTAAAGCTATGTCCCCAAAAGAACCCTTGCTCCCTTAAAATGAATTTACTGTTTGCTTCAGCCAACAAAGAGGCCCTAAAACTGCTCTACCAGCAGTTACTTTAGAAAGATTGCAATTACAAGGCCTTTCTGTGCCCTGTGGGATCTAAAGCTTCCACTGAAATCTGTTTCCTCCAGGGCCTGAAGCCTCTCTTTACAGTGCAAACCTGCAGGGAGGTAATTGCAGTCTCCCTCCAGTCCCCTGGAGAGGTGAAGCCTGACATCAGAGGGGTCCTGACTGCAGCTGACACCACGGCGGGTCCTGACTGCAGCTGACACCACGGCCTCCTGCTTCTCCCAAACAAGGGTGGGCCAGCAGATCCAGGTGGTCTAGCTCATGCTCTAACGTCCCCCCACGCCCACCCCACGGGGCCTTTCCTTTAGCTCCCCCAGGCTTTAGGCACCTCCAGGCTTTAGTTTCAGGGACTTGGGTCAAGTTCACCCTGAGCTCTTTCCCCTACTGAAGAGCGTTCCTGAATGAAACCGGTGCTTCTGCTCTAACTGAGGTAGCTTTGTTTATCTGTAACAGGAAGGAAAGTCTCTGCATGTTTAGAGGTCGGTCTCTCTCGCAGAAACCTCAAACTCTTTGGATCAAGTGATCCCTCTTCCCCAGGCTACAGAGTATCTGGGATTACAGGCACCAGCACCACACGTGCTGTTTTGTCCATTTTTCATAGAGAAGAGGACCTCATTCTTACTCAGCCAGGTCTCCAACTCCTAGCTCAAGTGATTTTCCCTCCTCAACCTCCCAGATTGCTGGGATTACAGGGGGTGAGCCCCCATGCCTCGGCTTAGAGGTCAGTCTTACTTCATCACCTTACTTTGTTCAGAGAAGTAACTTTCTCTGAATCTTTCTGGTGAGGTGACTAAGAGTGTGTGGAGGTTCACGGCGAAACTCGGCTCGCCAGGCCCAAGGTTTGAAGCCGCTGTCCCTAGGCCTGACTCTCCTCAGCTCCCAACTCCTTGCCTGTCTAGGCACCTCCATTTCCCCATCTGCACAACTTTCCTCTCTACAGGCCTCCAAGCATGGACATCTCAGGATTCTTCCACTGGAAGACATTAAAGAGTGTTTAGAGGAGAAGGGACCCAGGGCTGTGTCACCCAGGTGACAGAGGGGCCTTCCCAGAGAAGGTTTTTATGGAAATGACACCCGACAAAGGGACAGCTGCCCTGGACTCAGGGCAGGGCTTAGAGAAGCGAGGACACCTGTGAGCAGACACGGGCAGTCTGATGGGGCGGAGGGGGCTTCTAAGCGGCCGCACATTCTCACCGTTGGAAGAATCCAGCCAAACTCCTGCTTGTTGATTCCAACCATGTAGGGGACGGTGTTGAACTTCTTTCCAATCAGAATCTCTTCAGGAGTTTTCGGCAGCACCACTCCGTCCACCACGGTGGGTGTGAAGGGGTAACTCTGGGGAAGAGGGCAGGGCCGCGTCTGAGCCTCCCCTCAACCACACACAGCTGGGTAGGCTTCAGCGACGGTCACAGGAGCTCAGAGTGCTAACAAATGGGGCTCAGTCTGTGTGATCCTGCAGTGTTTAACTCAAAGGGGGCTGGCAGGGTGAGGTGATGAGTCGGGAGGAAAATCTTGTTTCAAATCCCAATTCATGCATTCCATGTATGAATCACATGCATTTCAGTTATAAGTCAGTGAGTCTCTGTAACTCTGTCTGGAGGAGACCCTGTTAATCACAGGAGTGGGGTTCAGACAAATGCCCTGAGTGCTGAATTAGCAAACACCCACTTGTCACTCAAAGGGGAAGTACAAGTTAGGTTCCTGAGAGACTCTGGCTCCAGAGTTTTTGTCAACCTTATTTTAGGTGTGAGCTTCTGTCTAAATACACTTTCAATAATCTATATTTCTTGCAGAAAATTAGTTCCATGGGCCATTTATTTATAACAAACACCAGTCAGGAAGGCCGCCCGTTCTCCCGACCCGGGTACAGGACTGGGAGGGTTTCCGGCTGGCAGCATCACAGCAGTGCTGTCCACTGTCCACTGTGCATTCTGAAAATTCCTTCAGCATCACGGATGCAGCTGCTTCTCCGTCCCCCATAGCTCCTCACATGCCGCAGATTTTAACACTTTCTGTTATGGCCTCGTGTCTGGATGGGCAAAGTCCCCCCCTTTTCTTGGATGTGCCTATTGTTCATTCATTAACTCCAAAGTCAAGGCCAACACACAATCTGTTCCTCCACAAACTCGCCTGCCACAGGCATTGTCCCCGTAATGCACACCACAGTGACCTTGAACTTAGGGACAAGAGACAGCACCTCAGCACTGCTCTCAGGGGGCATCTGAGACAGGGGATCTCTGACACCCAGCACAAAACACAAACACCACGGCACTAACTAGACCGTGAGGAGGGCACGTGGGGTGAGAGGTCACAGAGGGAGGCAGGGCCCTCACTCTAGTCTAGAATTTACTAGTAGGGTCAGGGATAGCTCAGCGGAAAGTGGCATTTGGACCTGGCTCTGCAGGACCCTGTGTTTCCAGGACCCGTGTCTGTCTGCACAAGCCACAGGGGAGGTCCGCGAGGTGGACTAGAGCAAGCAGGACGAGGCGCAGATCTCAACCCGCGGGTGAGAGTAGTCGTCGGGTGTGACCATGGGGGCTGAGAGTAGCCGTCGGGTGTGACCACGGGGGCCTTGAAGAGTTGTGCAGTTCAGAACGGGCTGCCATGGAGAGCTGGGAACAGGACAGGCCACGCGGAGGGGGTGTTGAGGGGGTGGGATGGACAGGTGAGAAAGTGGAAATAGGAGATGGTTCAAGTCCAGACGTGAGGTGGCTTTGGTGATCACAAGACAGACATTAGCAGCAGTGACAGTGACAATATTTACACTGTCCTCTGAGTGTCTGCACATGGCTGTCCTGCGTGGGCCATGAGCACAACATTGCTTGGGTAGAAGCTCAGGCACCCCTCACCCTCTTTTTCTCAATATCAGTAAACCCTGTCAGCTAGTCCTTCAACAACACCCAGACTCCAAACACTCCCCCCGGCCACTGCCATGGCCCTGTCTCAGCCCACAGCACCCCTGGCCTGAATGACTGCAACACACCAGCCTTCGTGCTGGTCTCTTGGCATTTTTTGTACCCTCCTGCAGTCTGTTTTCAAGAGAGTAGACAGAGACCTTTATAAAACCCAGGATCACGTCTGTTTCCTTCCATATCAATGCCCAAGCCTTTCAAGTGACCTCCCCATCTCCCATCAGCTCCTCAGCCTCCAGCCTGTCTGTCCCCTCACTCCTTCCTCCCAACCCTGCAGACCAGCCTCCTGCCTCGGGTTGGACAGTGCAGCAGCTGTCTCCTCTGCCTGGACGGGCTCCTTCAGGGCTCCAGACAGCGGCCTCCCCCTCCTGCAGAGCCAGGCCCAAATGCCACTTTCCGCTGAGCCATCCCTGACCCTACTAGTAAATTCAAACCTCTGGGGAACTTTGTCCCTCAGCCCCACCCACCATCAGCACACAACATATTTTATTTGGTTTTAACTATACACCCCCAACTGGCATGGAGGACTCTAGGAGGGTAGGGAGTCCCCTCTGTCCCGCAGCTCTTCAGCCAGGCCCTGGCTCCCAGGAAGGACTTAGCTTCTGGAACCTGTGCTGAGTGTCTGGATGAAGCTCACTCAGTCCTCACAAGGCCTCGGAGGGGAAAGGGGGGTGTACTCCAAGAAGGAGCAGAGAGGAAAGGACTAGAGAATTAGAGGATGCTGCAGAGGGGATGTCACCAGACCCTGACGACCTGTTGGGAATTGTGCATGGGGGAGAAGGAGATGGGGGAAAAGAAGGATCCTGGGTGCCAGGAGGAGGGGGTATCCTCAGGACTAAGAGTCCAGGGCGCCCTGTGTAGATAACCCTGCGGCCTCACAGGGGATATGAGCTCCTCTGTGAAGGAGCCTGTGACCTCTGCCTCCTGACCATGGAAGACTGCGGTCCAGCCTCCTCCCACAGGGCCATGCTGGGGAGAGGAAATGTATATAAGAGAGAAGGTAGGTGAACCCAGGGGACTCAGACGCGATGCCTGGGAGCACTAGACTGGGATTTAAGGAAGGGGATCTCCTGGCTGTATTACCCAGGCAAGTCACTGCCCTCTCTGGGCCCCAGCACCATGCACACAGGAGGCTTTGGAGGTTCTACATGGGACCATTATTTCATTCAGTGGTAATTAGAGTTTAAAAACATGTTAAGACTCAAAACCTGTAATCAAGAAAACAAAGGTCCTTACCTCCCTGGGGTCTCCAAGGAAATCCACAGTAAACAATTTCTGTGAAGACAAAGGCAGAGGACGCAGGTGAGAGGCTTCCTGGAGAAAGCTGGTCTGTGTGGCTGTGCACCAGAGCTGTCAGGAGCTCCCTCCTGCTGTCACCCTGGGAGGGCTGAGAGGACATGGGCAGGACACCAGATCCATAGGGGAGAGCACAGAGGGTAGGCGCCAGGAGGGCAGTTAGGCCCAGTAAGGGAAGGACCAGTCCTGGGGACCTTGGGCCCTCTGGGCAGGGTGGCTGGAGCTCTGCAGAGAAAGTCGGCTGTTGGTGTCTGTGCGGCCCCACCATCCATTTCCCTTCTTGTTCCCAATTTTTCTTTGGGTGAATCTCCCACTTGTCCTCTCTCCCTCCATGAATTCAGGTATTTATATGCAACCTGGGTGCTCCATCTCCCTGAACACAGGCATTATTTCAGGGGTGGGCACTTACCCTTGTCAGCAACAGAGTTTGTCCCAAAGCTTTTGCTAGAAGTATTGAGAAAGAGGGTTTCTAAGGAGGCAGGACGTAAGTCTGGAGTGCTGTGGTCTTTAACCTCCCGGGGGGCACCACTGCCTGAGAGTGAAGCCAGCACAGGGGAGGGCAAAGCTGAGGGAGAGACACAGGTGGAGTCTCCATCACGTCCCATGAGCATCTGGCTCCAGCATGTCTAAGCCATCTAGTGCAAGTCTTTTCCATTACTTGAAGTTTTTTATAAGAAGAGTTTTTTTTTCCTTCTTAGTAAACTATCACAAGAATGGAAAAGCAATTATCCAGTGTATTCACTACTAATATGAAGATGCACGCTCATGTAGGTGAAAAGCTTATTTCAATTGAAGTGAGGGGGAGGGTAATGTGGGAGGGAGGAGGAGGGGATTGGGTGCTCTCATTGAATGGGCATGGTTGGGGGGTGTTTGGCACACCTTTTGTGTGTGGGACATAACCACAGGAGGGACTGTATCTAAAAAAATCAAATATTTTGACCTAGGTGTTGGTATGCTCAGATTAACCTGAAATAAATATACTTTAAAAAAAAAAGAATTTCTTACTCTACTCAGGGCAGCTTGAGATGAGCTTTCTCATCCTACGCAGGACATCCTCACTCACACAGGCCCCTGATACCCATACCACCCCATTCTTCTCCTTGGTGTGTGTTCACCAAGATTACCGGCATTGTAACACTGCAGGTCTGATCTGTATGGGAGAGGTGAAGAATGAGGGCTTTTGCATTTTGGACTCAAGCTCTAGTAGTCAAGAATGTCTGTATGTGTGCGAGTGTGTGCATGTGTGAGACTGTGTGAGAGTGTGTGTGAGCATGTGTGTGCATCCATGTGTGTGTGTCTGGGTGTGTGTTGGAAGCAGTGAGGAATCATGTAAGCACTTCCACAAGATCTCAGAACATCTCAGAAGAATGTTCTATGAACATAGGTTGTAGTTTTCCAGTCACCAACTCCTTCTTTATAATCTCATGCCACCTGGAGAATTCCTGAAATAATTTCCTCTTTTCCATCACTAAAATACAGCTTGTTCTAAGTCTTTGAACCCTTGGGTCAGCTTAGTAAAGTCTGATGAGCCAAGACTCACGTCCCAAAGCCAAATAGACTCAGCAGATGAAAATGGAAGCAGAGACCAGGGCTAGAAGCCTGTGCTGGGACCCCAGGATTATCCTCGGGTCCCCAGGGTCTAGATGGAAGTCTAGGCCTGAGGCTACTGCTGAGCTCATAATTCACATCTTTACCCCACAAAAGGCACAGCCCCCATTGGGCGTAGATGCTGCATTCTCTGGCTACTTGTCCTGTTGTGTTTCCTTGTAATGACAGATGACTGCCTCAGCCATCCATCAATCCTCAAATGTCACCTTCTCAGTGAAGCGTCCCTGATGGCTCTAAGGAATGTTTCCCTTCTCTGTATTCAAACCATATTCAACCTGCTAATTATATGGGTGTGTTTCTTCCTGGGTGGTTCCTTGTGAGCAAGGATGATGACCAACTGAAGTCTGCATCACCTCCCCCCTTGCCCTGCCCAATACCCTTAGCATGGATGCACAGATGGGTGGATGGGTGGATGGATGGATGGATGGAGCTGGTCAACACATGGATTATGGGTGACCTGGATGGATACACACATAGATGGTAGATGAAGATATCAGATGCTAGATGATGCATCAGTGATGGAAGAGTTGAAAACAGATGAATGAAGAGTCTTGAATGGATTGATGTTAGACTGATGAAAGAATGTCAATGAATTGGATGTTTAGTGGATGGATAAATGGATAATAAGATGGTGGATGAATGCATGGGTGAGTGAATGGCTATCCTACATTCACGATTAAAGAAAAGTTTTACAAAATCTCGCATATTGGACCACCATTAGGTTTAATTTAGATAGTTTCTACATCAACCAAGATAAATAGTGACATCCCTCTGAAATATTTGTGCTTAATTCAGGATGGTAGCTACCCCTGGGAATAGGTAGTGTATAATTTCTTACAAAGACATTGAAGTACTAGAATGGCAAAATACAAACTTTTGATAAATCTCAGTATTTCCTACACAACTTTTCATCATGTTATTTTCAGACTTCTTTGGATATTTGAGGAATGTGATAAGAAACAAGAAAAAGGAAATCCCCCATTCAGATCCAGAGACCCGGAAGAGGTGAGAGACTGACCCAGAGAGTTTATCCAGGGCACAGGGACAGCTGTAATGACAAAGACTAGGGACATGCTTACAGATTGGGGGCACTAGGAGGCACCCACCTACCATTTTCAGTGTCAAATCCAAGAGCTCATCCTCTGTCTTCTGGCGCAGGCAGTGAACCATGACAGCCGACGTGGTGGTTTTACATCCAGCAGTGACAGCAATTTTCTGCAAAGGTCACAGGCCACAAGGCTCAAGAGCAATGTCCCTTCCCTCCATCCAGGTGGAGAGACAAGTTCTACCCCCAGCCCAATATGTGAAGCAGCAGGGGGCAGACACTCCTCTAGACCAGCACCTGTGGGTCTGGCCCCAGAGAGTGCAGCCTTCTTCCTCGCCTGAGTTGTGACATGAGTGATACATGTGTGGTCTCTCTCTCTGTTACCTTACCTCTGTTAAAAGGGGCATAGTGACATCAAAGTGAACTTTTCAAGAGAGAGGGAGTGAGGAGTGGGGGATAAGACTATGGAACCCCAATTCCACCATCTGGCTTCCAAGCCCGGCTCCAGCATTACTGGCCATTGACCCTCAGAAAAACTATTTGAGCTCTTTCTGCCTCATTTTCTCCCCCTTAGATGGGCATAATGATCTCACCCACTTTATATAAGGAGTTAACAGGAGGGAAGAGCATAGGAGGGTCCTGTGTCTCCCCCACACTCAGCACGTGCACAATTGCAGGAGGCCTAGACAAGGCACTTCAGAAAACACCAAATGTGCTTTAAATGAGAGCTCTAGAGGAAGATACCGTGTGTCACCTCGGGACATCGACACGGTTTCTCATTCGAGTGAGGTGTCTTGGCACAGCTAGGAGTTATTCTACACAGGTGTGTACCAGAGTCCTGAGCAATAATCAGACAGGACTCTCTAGGGCAGGTGTCAGCAAAGTTTTCATCCAAGGAACAAACAGCGCACATTTGAGGCATTGTGAGCCCTGTGGTCTCCGCTGCATCTTCTCAAATCAGCTCTTGAAGTGAAATAAGGTGGGTGTTGCTGCATTGCAATAAAACTTCATGGGCATGAAATTAGAATTTCCTATCATTTTCATGGTTCATAAAGTATTATTTTTCTGTTGTTTTCTTAATTGTTTCAAAATTAAAAAATCATTATTTAGCACCCAAAGGGCGTAGAAACCTAAGCCCAGATTTGTCCTCCCTGTCCTCAGGTCAGACACTGAGCAGTATGCACTGATGCACAGAAAACCCTTGACCCCAACCTAGAACCTCTTCTCTGCTTAAAAACAATGTGAGAGGGCGGCACCTGAACCTCAGTGGGTAGGGTGCTGGCCACATACACCAAGGCTGTCAGGTTCGAACCCAACCCAGGCCAGCTAAAACAATAATGGCAAAAAGAATAGCTGGGCATTGTGGCAGGTGCCTATAGTCCCAGCTACTTGGGAGGCTGAGGCAAGAGAATAGCTAAGCCCAAGATTTGAGGTTGCTGTGAGCTGTTACAACATAGCACTCTACTGAAAGCAGGAATGTGAGACTCTGTCTCAAAAAAAAAAAAAAAAAAAAAACCTAAGAAATTCTAAATATTCTTGGTGTGTCCATTTTATCCCACCCTGCAAATCAGATCCTGTGTCCCCAAACCAGATCCACTTCTCTGACCCCAGTGAACCCTGCTGTGCAGCCCACTCTGCCCCTTGCCCCTTTGGCTTCCAACCTCTCTCCAGAAAAAGAAAAAATCCTTCCCAGGATCCTCTACAGCACGGCCCCTGCCAAGTCCCCAAGCTCCCCCTACTCTCTGCTCTGGCCACATCAGCCTCCTCTCACTCTTAAGATGCTTTTCTTGCCACAGGACATCTGCAAATGCTGTCCCCTCTACCTGGAATGCTCTTGGCTTGACATGTATAAAGTATGGCTCTGCTTTCTCATTCCAACTCATGATCACTTTTGATGAACCATCTCCTGATAACCCTGAGGCCTGGGGTCATAGGGAGTGCATGCATTAGAAGTTCAGCGTTACAGGCTAGAGTCCCATCTCTGCCCTGATCCGTGTGCACTTTGACATGTACTTTCACACTCTCTGCACATTTGCTCGGCTATGAAATTGGAGAAATGAGCAAGGTGTCTTCCTGCCCTTTCCATTCAGTCCACCCAGCTTCTGTGATTCTTTTGAGAATGTCCACTGGGTCCCATGGCAGGAAAGGCCCCTAAAGATACCAGGAGCATAGGGCCAAGGCTGTGGGGGGGCCCATGGGAGACCTACCTGTGCCAGGGGTTTGATGTCTTTCTTGACCAGAACCTCCATGAGGGCCACACCACTCTCAGAAATGGCCCGATGGAAGAGGGTCTTGGCCAGGGGAGATAAAACCTGGGAGTGGAGAGGACAGGAGGAGAGTTCATGTTCAGAGGACGGTCCACCCACAGCTCCTCTCTGGCCCTTTTGCCAGGATCCCCTGGGGGTCAGTGGGCATGAGGGCTCCTCCCCAAGCTGCCCTGCTTCCCATGACACCCTGGTCCCAGCTTCCCCTAGAGAGCATCAGTGGGATGGAGCCAAACACAGAGCCAGGGACAGAACAGGAAGAGTGCGGCACGCACAGATCACAGCAATCTAAAGTATCAGGAAGATGCTTGGCTAGTCCCAAACACACATTCTGACTGATTCCCATTACTCAGAATTTATCCCAAGGAAAATGATCACAGAGACCCACAAAGACTTTTGAGTATGTCTGTGCTGTTTATAGAATTGGGAATGAGGATCTAATATTGTATGAGTGAATAAAAACAATACTTCATTACTGCCATGGAATATTATGCTGTTATAAAGGTTAATATTATAAAGCAGTGTTTAACATTAGGGAAATATTAATGTTATACTACAATGTTATATATACTATGTTATACTAAGATTTATGTTAATTAACATGTGTTATGTTAATTTTGGTAAGGTTTTAGAAAACAAAAGATGATAGAAAAACAGATTGATTGATGGAGACAGTCATGAAAAAAGACTGGAAAAATACATGGAAAATGTCCACAGTATCTACCCCTGAAGATTAAGATTTTAGGTAGATTTTTTGTCTTTGGGCTTATCTGAAATGTTCCTTTATCTCTGTTTTAAGAATATGGAAGCATTTTCCTCTGAGTATTCAACTAGGAAAACAACATAAGAGTGAAAAATCAGTAACTGGGCTGACTCTTCACTCAACTCCAAGGCACCTGCAGGGCTCCCTACAGCTTCCAAACTGGTTTCCCATCCCAGCTTCCTTCTGCATCTCCCCGGACCCCAGCAGGACAACTCTCACCCCAAGGCTTTGTCTGTGCCCTACATCCTCAGTCTTATCCTTCCTCATCCTATAGGGAGGAAAAAGGAGGGCACCTCCCACATCCCACCTGGCCACTCAGGGTGCCTCCCTCTTGGCCACAGGGCACCCTCAGACCACCTCAGCAGAGGCTCCTGCCTGCCCTCAAGGCTCACATCCCTGGACACTTAGTTCTGCCTTAGAACCAGACAATGACCTCTGCCCAACTCTCATACTTGCCTCCACTGTTCAGAATTTATACCCAGCCCTACCTCCTAGAAGAAGTGTCCTTCTTCTGAGTCCTAGTGTTAAAATGAGTAGGAAGGGGAGAGGGAGCTCAACCAAGTTGGAAGAGAAAGAAGGCCACCATGGCAGAATGTAACTGGAGATTCTTATGGCCTAAGGATGTGAATCTGAATGCTGAGCTCCTGGGGGCCAAGGAGAGTTTGGTCCTTAGCTCTCCACCACCTGATGCTGAACAATAAGCAGAGCCAATTCCCAGTCTAGGTCCTGTAAGCAAACATGCCCTTGGCTGCTGGGCTCATCTCCAAGAGGTCCAATCACCTGCCACAACAGCCTGGGGATTGGGTCTTCTGCCAGGAACACTTACAAGGACAGAGACACTTTCACCTCCTGCTGACTCTCCAAAGATGGTCACAGAGCCTGGGTTCCCTCCAAAGTTGGCAATGTTGTCCTGGACCCAGCGCAGAGCAGCCACTTGGTCCAAGTGACCCCAGTTCCCTGGGCTGTGTTCATCCCCTGTGCTGTGAGTAAGAGAACAAGTTGGGGTGGGCAGCAGAAACTCCATGGCAGGACTCTCAGGCTCCCCATGGGGCTGGGAGCTCTCAGTGAGTCGTCCAGAATGAGGCTGGGCTCCAACCCCTCACACTGGGATCCTCACCTGCCCTGCACTCCCCCAGCACTGCTGTGGGCTCTGCATTCAATCATAGGACAGAATGTACAGAGCATCTACTCAGTGCCCAGCACTGCCCGAGGAGCTGGAGCACATGTCAGAACAAAAGTGGGAAAATCTCTGACTGCACTCAGCTCTCAGTACAGTCTATCTACAAACCAACAGATCAATGTGGAACATGCTGTCTGGTACGGAAAGTGCTTGTGGGAAAAACAAAAAGGCAGGGAGTGGGGCAGGTGAACACTACTTCATGTCACATGACCAAGGAAGGCTTCCTGGAGGCCATGACATCTGAGGAGAAGCCTGAATGAAACAAGCACATGAACCTTGTCATTATCCAAATAAGAGAACTCCAGGCAGAAGAAACAGCAAGTGCAAAGGCCCTGGGGCCCAGTGAACAGCAGGACCATGCAGGAGGTGCGGCCAGCAGGGCCCTGCAGGCCTCTGTACAGACTTTGGATGTTGCAGTAAGTAAACGGGAAGGCACTGCAGGGTTTTGTGCAGAGGAATGACGCGAGTCAATCTGCATTGAAATGATCCCTCTGGCTACTGTGTGGATCAGTCAGAGCATAAAACTAGCAGAGTGACTAAAGTACTCATTAGGTGATTATGATAATAATCAGTCCAGAGACAGACAGCATTGATTGGGGTGGGAGCAAAGGAGGAGTGTGAACTCACCAGACTCTGAGTACAGTTTATGGGTAGAACCAGGGTCTTTGCTGGCCCCTGGATGTGGGGGGTGAGAGAAAGGGCAGAGTCCAGGCTGCCCTCAAGGCCTCCATCCTGGGCACCTGGGAGGATGGAGCAACACAGCTGTGCAGGACACATAGGGGGAGCAGGGAGCCTTTTGTGGGGATGGGCTGTGGGAGTCCAGGCCTCAGTGTGTCCTTGTGAAGGGTCAGAACCTCAGACAGTTAGTGGGGACAGAGGAGGTGATTAGTGATGGGCGTCTGGGGTTAAAGAAGACATGGCCAAAATAGGGGCTCTGACAATGCCCCCTGGGGCCACTGGGAGTTAGTGGGAAAGGAGATAGATACGCAGAGACCCGAGGACAGATAGACAGATGGGCGAGCAAGGTTCTGAGCAGGAGGGGCTCCTAGGGTGGGAGATGGCAGGTGCAGAGGGAAGGGAGGGTGTCACAGAGGGGTAAGTTACCCTGTGTGGCTGTTGCTGAGAGTCAGGGAAGGTTGGCCTTAGAACATGTGGAGGTCATGGAAAACCTTAACAGAAACATCCTGGTGGCACTGTCAGGAAAAACCTGGCTGGTGTGGTTAGAGGGGAGACAGGGAGGAGGGGAACAGAGGGCATGCAGCAGTCTTCCTGTAACAGGCAGCAGACACCAGGGCCATAGATGAAGGGATGTGGGGTGTCAATGATGGTGACACCTGGGTGACTGGCCAGGGACTCCCCACTAGTGAAACCATTCTCCTGTCCCTGGGTCTTGCCATGAGTGGGTGGACCTCATCACACTCACTCATCTCATTAGGCATCAGACATTCTGTTCAGGTACAATCAGACAAGGCTCACAGTCACTTTGTCCAGGAGGACCTGCTCCCTGTTCACAGAGAAGACTGTACCCTTGACCCCAGCATACATCAGATTTCAAGTAGCATATGGGGTGAGTGGGCCCCAAAACACCTCCAGGGAGGGTGGCTCACAGGGGTAAGATGCTCTGATAACCTCCCATGTCCAAACACTCACTCCTTCACCCACTAGCATTCACCAAGTGCCCTCTGTGAGTCAGCCTGCACTTAGTTTCCCAGGAGAAGGAAGATGTGTGAACTTTCACTGCTGTGCCACATTTAATGGCTTGACAGAGGAACTTGCAGTGTGCAGCAGAGGTGAAAAGGAGATGACTAATTCACAGAGGGAATATATGGGCTGGGCTCTGCAGGATGAATAGGAGTATGTTAACTAGAGTAAGCATTCTAGGTAGAGGGAAGAGCATACATGGAAGTTCAGAAGAAGCTGGGCATGGTGGTTCACACCTGTAATCCCAGCACTGTGGGAGCCTGAGGAGGGAGAATTGCTTGAGCTCAAGAGTTTGTGACTTGCCTGAGAGAGAGTGAGACTCTGACTCCTAAAAAAAATGAGAAACACAGCCAGGCGTGGTGGGTGAGCGACTGTAATCCCAGCAGCTACAGAGGCTGAGACAGGGCCTGTAATCCCACAGCCTGAGTCTGAGGTTGCAGTGAGGTATGATGCCATTGCACTCTGCTCAGGGCATACATAGGATAGGACTCTGTCTCAACTCAAAAATAACAATAATGACCAAAAAACCTCAGAAGTATATGAACAAGAGTATCTGGGTTATGAGAGGTTAAGAGGTGACCAGTTATGGAGAGAATGGGATGCCTTTTTCAAGGAACTCAGCAAAGGCCCCTGAGCACTGAGATGACCAGAGCTGGGTCCTGGTAGCTTCACACTGGGAGCCAAGCACAGTGAGGAGAGCCGAGAAACTTACCTGAAGAACCCCCAGATGCCCAGACGGTACTGAATGGTCACCACCACCATGTTTTCATGGGCAGAGAGGGCCAGGCCATCATAGGTAGAGGCCCCGCCCACCACAAGTCCACCTCCATGGATCCACACCATCACCTGGGTGGGGAAGAGGTTATAACCAGGTTACCACACTGGTGATAGGAGGCTGAGCTCTGAAGGACTATGGGGATATCTGGTTTCATCATTGGTCATTACCCGAAGTCCATCAGCACCCAGAAGGCTACAAAAGGCAGTGTGGCTCCTCCCTGACCCTCCATGCCGGGGTTCAGGCTGCCACCCCATTCCACCCACTCTGGATACTCTTAACTTTCTCCCCAGCCCCAGAGCCTCCTTTCAGGCTGAGAATGTCACATGGAATAAGCAGAAAAGACAAAGGTGTTATGTTTTTCCTGACACTCCCACCACCCTCATGCCTGGTCCTCTCATCCAGCTCTACCTGCCCATGGGGCAGCCCTTGGATTGCAGCTTCATTTCAATTCTCTGCTAAACTGAACTTCCGTAAGCATGAGCGGTTATCTCATGAAGCATGTCCGACCCCAGTGGCATCTCTACCTAATATGCCTGCTCTCTGCCTGCCCAAATCCCACCCACCCTCCTAACCCCAGCCTGGAATCCACCTCCTCCAGGAAGTCTTCAGTTCTATGACTAACATTATTTGGGAACCAACTCTGTGCCAAGGAGGGTGATAAGAACTGAGGATTAGAGTGGACACAAGAATTCATAAATCCTGGTTCTCGCATGTACAGAGTTCAAATAACAGGGAAACAGGAGGAATGACTAAAATAATCACATTGTGATAACACGGTTAATTAGAAAACCTTATCATATGAGCTGTACCCCACATACTGTGCAGGCAGTTGTTCAGGCATTTTAAAATAAACTATGCTTGGCTCAGCGCCTGTAGCACAGTGGTTACAGACCTGGCCACATACACCAAGGCTGGTGCATTCAAACCCAGCCCAGGCATGCTAAACAATGACAACTGCAACAAAAAAATAGCTGGGCTCTGTGGCAGGTGCCTGTAGTCCCAGCTACTCGGGAGGCTTAGGCAAGAGAATCACTTAAGCCCTAGAGTTTGAGATAGCTGTGATCTATGATGCCACTGCACTCTACCAAGGGTGACATAGTGAGACTGTTTCAAAATATCAAAATAAAATAAAATAATAAAAACTATGCACAAGGTAGGTACTAATCCTGTCCCACTTGACAGAAAGGAAAATCAAGGCACTTATCCTGCCCAAGGTCACACACCTGGCTGGTAGAAGCGGGAATTGACCCCAAGACATCAGCTCTATATACTCTAAGTTCAGCTGCCCCCAACCTGGCAACCAATGGCCACAGTGCAGCCAGTCTGCAGTTATGGCTGGGTCAGATCCTCCCTTCTGCTCCAACTAAGGCTCCACCAGTGCCCTCACGTACTTAGCTGGGGGCAGAGACTGAGCTTGGCCGTCATCTCTGAACACTCTCATTTCAAGGAAACAGGCTTAGAGAAGTAAAGAAATCCTGTCTGTTAGTCAAAAGCAGAAGCAGCATTTAAACCCAGACCCTGCAGTTCTAGGGCCTGTGTCCTTACTGAGAGGTTCTCAACCCTACAGGTTCCCAGAGGCCCTTTGTGTCTGATCCCTGCCTCCCTCCTGAG